TCTCTACCTGTGGATCATTATCATTATCATTATACAATTGTGTAGGAGATATGGTAAGATATCAAGACTGATGGGGTCTCATGCTGTTCCTGTTCTATCTACACTCTTCCTTCTCTCATATACTAAACTAGTACGTACTATTGTTATTGTACTACACAAGCGTGAGGTAACTCTTCACTGTAGAAATGAGTCAGTAAGATCAGTTAGTTTATGGTATGAGGATCCTACTGTTGAATATGCTAAAGGGAAGCATGCTGGACTATTTGGATTTGGCCTATTGGTGTCTGTTTTCTTTGTCATACCATACACACTGTTCCTTTTACTTAATCCTTTTTACGAAAGGTATCTTTCAAATTTAAAACTTTTAAAGAAAATTTGGGATCGTTTCAAGCCTATTATTGATGCTTATAGTGGTCCAATGAAAGATGACTATCGGTTCTGGCCTGGTCTACTGCTAGTGGCTAGGATACCAGTACTATTATCAGTTACCTTAGTTGACAGTTTCATTCAGTCACAGCACTTCCTATTAACAATGCTATTGACAGTGTTAGCTATTGTGCTATCATTAGGTCATTGTTTTCGTGGAGTTTACAAGAAAAGAATGAACAATGTACTTGAAGTTTGGTTCTTGTTTAACTTGTGTATCATGGTTGGTCTATCTGTAGCTTTTACTGATGAGAGTAAAGTATTGATCTGGTACAATACCTGTTTATCTGTTTTTATTTTTAGTTTTATTTTGATTGTTGTTTATCATCTTTACCTGCAGTTATCACACATGAAATGCTATGATGCTCTAATTAAGAAGTTATTCAAGAAACAAGATGAAGATGACGAACCTCTTTTAGATGTCACTGAATCACATCTAACTGTTGATCAACAAATGAGAGAAATTGTACCAAGTTCTACTGATGTTAGACTCAGTGATAGTCGTGAATCAGTTGTCGATTTGTTTTAATCATAATCTTTAGTAATTTTTGCTCTCACATTAATTAAATATCTTAGCTATTTAGAAGCAGTATAATTACTATAAATTGAATTACTATAATTACTAACAATACTTCCTGTGCATATAATACACAGTAACATACATACACATTAACAGTACATAAAAACAGCATAATAAATTAAATTCATGGATCATTCTGCTCCATGGTGTCTCATATTAGCTCCTCCTCCTATACCTCCATTTGCCCCCTCAGTCTCCAGTTATAATTTTACGGCTGCATATCACGTACCATTATACTGCAGCATGTTAAATTCAATGTACAAGTACATGTATTAAGTAATTTTGTCTACTTTAAATCTACATGTAAATGGTTTCTTATTTTATTGAATAATTATAACTTAATAAAACCAGTCACTAAATGTCAATCGGAGGTAGGTGTGGTTTTCTGATGTGTCGTATGTTGGCCCCAGGTTGAGTGGGTTTGAAGGGGGCATGGTTACCATAAGGTTTCGGAAGAGGTAAGTCTGTCTCGCTGTCAGGTATGTAAGCATTGGGACGTGGCGAGGCTGTAGTGTAGACTCCATTGGGTAGCTCACGACCTTCATCTTGTAAGGACTGAGAGAGAGGGAGGGGGACAGTGTATTAGTAATTGAATTTATTTAAAATAAGTTGAACACACAGAGACACATGGCTAGACTAGTATAGAAAAAAACATAGACACAGATCCATCCACCATACATACCCTGTATACATGTATGTGTAGAGTATACAGTAACTGTTAATACATTTTCATTCTTCAAAAGTAAAGGCCAAGTCCAAAGTTTATGAATACATGTACATGTAGATTGCATACACCAAGTAACATTGTACATTGTACTTTGGACCATGTACATATTATCAA